GTGACAAGTGAGTCACACCGTCTAAGTTCGAATGTGAGTTGGTCATGCATTCAATTAACGTTGCCTAATATTGATCATGATATCTTGTCTTTGTTAAGTAATTTAATTAGCATCAAGTTCAACACAAAAGCATGTGTATAAAATCAGTTCTAATAATTTAATTATAAGAGATGTGATAAGTAAATAGGGTTAATTATAGTTTAGCATCTATAAGAGAGATGTCAAATACCAAACATCAAATTTAAATTTTATGGCTGATGTGGCCAGTTGACATATTGTAAAACTCTTTATTCAACAAAGATGTCAAATATACATTTATTTATTATTTTTAAAGGCAGGTGGGCTCGGTATTTAAGAGTAAAATATTAAATAGGGTTAAGAACTGTATATGGAAGAGGAGAGAAGTGGGCTCAGCATTAAAATAATAAATAAAAAAACAAAAAGACGTCTCAACATGTTGGCGTCAATTTTGACAGCAAAAGTGAAGGACGTCAATCCAACTAGGATTTGGCATCATTGTTGGAAGGCTTAAAATGTCTTTTTCTTGGGTTAAAACTTGCCACGTTGGAATTGGCATTTCGGTTGGAGATGCTCTAAGGCATGTTAATTCCTATATTTTCAATTTTTATAATTAGATACTCCAGTCTTTTAAATTTGTTACAATGTGTTTCCGTCGTTAGGGTTTTCGTCAGATCTCACCATTAGTTACCTACGTGGCATTATAGGGCCCACATCTTCGCTTGTTTTATTTTTTTATTTTATATATATTAACTTGATCTTGATTTGTAGCACGGGGGACATTTAATCTGGCCAAAAAGAACTAACATCAGATACAAAGGCATCAAGATTTCAGTTAAAGTGAGTGAGCCAGCAGTCCAAAACACGACTGATAACAGATACGTATAGACTAATTAGGTCACCCTGTCCACCGAATCGACCTGAAAGCAATCCAAAAATTTGAGAGACAGTTAACTATCTTTTTCGTTGAAACTGTTGGAGTTTACTTTTCTTTTCTTTTGTGTGTGTGTGTATGTGTGTAATGGCCAATGTCCAACACCGATTTGCATGAATAATTCTCTATGCTTTGATACGATTCTGTTCATCAAATCATTCAGAAGGTGCCCTGCTACGTGCACAAAACAGAGAAATTGCACCAATATTATATATAATTCCACCCCCCCTTTGATCACGATGGTAATATTCTAATGTGAATTGATGCATGTTTTGGTTTATATTATATGTTTGAATTGGATTTCGATTCATATTCATCTAACCCTTTACGAAGGTGTACAAAAAACAGGCCTATGGATTTCGATTCATATTCATTTAGCCATTATTTACATATTATAATAATATATACGAAGTGCATTTGGATTATTTGAAGAACACTTTTTGACTTTCAGTGCACCTGTCAATCTATGGCACCATGCCACTGCCACCACACCAGTGACATAGAGTCACGGGTTTTTTATATTATAAATGGTTCATGCCTTTCGCGGAAGCTTCTATTATTAAACCCAAAAACTGGTGAAATGTATGGATATTTTAATTTTTTACCAAAAGGGTGGGAAAATAAATCACTGGATATCACTCGTTAGCTTATAATTACAGTTCTAAGCACTTCTAGCCGACAGCCCAACCCTAGCAAAAGGCATTTAGGTCAAGAAATGCAGCTTCGGTGGTACAAAACAGCCCAGGCAAGGCGTGGGGTCCACTAAGCCTTGGCAAGCCCGAAAGCAAGAACAGCCCGAGTTGTTGCATGAGAACTGTGATGTCAGTAATGACATCAGTAACAACAAAAATTTTAAAAAATCGAAAAAAATTCAGAATTTTAAAAAAATTAAATACTTAACCATATTTTTCACTTCCCACACCAAAACTCTATATAAATTATTCTCCTCATAACTCATGTGAATAGTGGTTGCCTTTGGATTGTCATGACAATGAGTGAAATACCAAAAATAAAAATTTGCTAGGATAGGCACTATTTATGTGAATAGTAACAACCCTTGCCTCCATTTGCCTTTTGCCAAGGCAATAGGAGGAAATGCTCTAAGAGTACTTTCATCGGTGGATTTTACCATAACAAAAGCCCCCCTGGGCTGGCAAAACCCATCCCACCAAGCATTTGCAGCCCGGGCAGGAGGTGGGGTCCACCAAGATTGGGCAAGTCACAAGCCCAAAGGCAAGATCATCCCAAGCTGCTGCCTAAAGGCGCTGATGTCATGGAATAAATTTAATATTTTTTAATGCTACCTCATGTGCGTCGAACACCAAACAAAAAGTGGTGTGCGCCACATGGCGTCTCCTAGGGAGTCCAATGCAATTTTTTTTTCCTTCATCCAACGGCTACCAATTTTGTGTAATAAAAATTGGTAAAAATACCAAAAAAAATAAATACCTAACAATATTCTTCATTTTCCAAACCAAAACTTCATACAAATTCCTCTCCTCATATAATAAGTATAAGTAAAATTTATCTTATCAAAATTAATCTCATAAGTATAAATAAAGTTAATCTCACGTGAATAGTGATTACCCTTGAGTTGCCATGACAATGGCTGAGAAAACGAAAAATAAAATAAAATTGCTTGGCAGACACAATTCACATGAATAGTAATATACCTTGCTTACCTTTATCCTTTGCCATGACAAATGGGTGAAAACGCTCTAAAGCCTCTAGTAGCCAATTTTGAAAGATTATGATCATTTGCTAATCTTTTTGGTACTAATTTTGTGCTTTTGAATATAAATAATTCCGTTTCTTGTTTAAAATATGAGCGTTTTAGATTTAGGGTTTAGTGTTTAGGATTTATATTCAACAAGTAATAACTAGAAAAGAAAAAGAAAAAAAAAGTCTAAAGTGACCTAGCTTTAAACTTGGACATACAATCAACACCATACAAAAGCTTCCACAGAGAATTCAAACTCAACTTTGACACTTACTAATTCTCTTGAATGATGGAAGAGGGAAATTGGGAAGAACAATGCAATCTTTTGAGTCTCATGCAGAAGTTTAGCCACACAAATGCATCCAAAATCAACCTACTCATGATGCAGACCAATGGTTAAGTCACAGCACACACACACACACTTGAGACATCAACTAGTGGCAGAAGAATTGAGTCTCTATCAACAAACCGGCAGTGTTTCAAATCAATGGCAAGGCTTGCATTTGCATATTAGGCCGGCATAGGGTTTGATGCGAACATATTCCTTTCATGTATGAGATTAATGATGTATATCTGTCTCATGAATCAAATTCTGATAAAGACTAATATTTGGACTGACATGAAGGAGGAAAGATGGGACATGACTTTGTGTACAAAGTGTGAGGCTCAAAAATTTACAGCACCAAAAAGAAAAAAGAATTGGCAAATATTTCATTTCAAGTCAAGTCATAGACATATATATAAATATTATATTCTACCATGTCGATGACCTATGGCCCCTTGTAGTGTGTATTATGGAACTACGTACCTTTTCTCCTAATCACTACCTTCAAATTCTTGTTCTTTGTTATCTTAATATCTAAATGAGGAATAATATTTCTCTTCATCACTCAAGTATTTCATGCCAAGGTGTTGATGGACCCAATATAAGGCCAATGCTCATCTAATTTCATTTGTCAAAATTACGTAATACTTTCGAATAGCGTTAGGTTCGTCAAATTTATTTACCAAATATGTTTATCGAACATTATGCCTTGTGCATTAGGTATAAATGATGTTACAATGTAGGCTCTCGGATTCGAGCAAGTGACAACATTATTCGGTGAGCGTAGTAGTGGTGAAAAAAACTTACCTAAGGTGTCTAATAATTGATGAGAACCTTGAATTCTTTTATTTATTTTGTGTCTTTAATTATTCTCCTTTTCAAGTTGTCACATTAAAGAGAAGTCTTTACTTTAATTGGGTTGCCATCAACCCATTAATCCCATATACCTCTTCAGCCGAAATGGCCCAGGAGCGATTTGCTTGATCCAGAGAATTAATATTGCGCGAGTATTTTATATCTTGTCTGTTATAAAGAGCTGAGAATATGATTCAGTACAAATAATGGAGACCAGATTCTTAAGGAAACTGGTATAATAATGAGTGCTCGCATTTCCTGGCAAAATCATGGGCACCAATAAGCGATGTGATTTCGATTAAGGTGGTATACAAACACAAGTTGGGGAAACAAAGCAAGAATGTGTCTTAAAGTTATTCAAAGTCTGACAATTAATCATTCTTATGTGAAGAGGCATATGTATTTTAAAACTTCACGTCTGTGAGTGATTTCTGACTGTATATTATTAGAAATTGATATTTAAGTGGGTGATTATTGACGGTAAATCATTGAAAACCAACATTTGATCAATAGTTAGAAATCGTCTACACATGCGCGGTACATAGACCTTGCAAAATCCGTCTCCCTGAATTATACTAGAGAAAAAAGAAAAGAAAAAGTTCTTAATTTGAAGTTGCCTAAAGTTGTGCTCACCCAAACATCAATTTGGGCAAAAGTGTCCATTGGTAAACTTTCTCAACGTTTTAAAATTAGTCAAGTCTGGTCCGTTTATTGATCCTCTAAAGTCTGAGGTCTACATGTACAACATCGCAGATGCAACTCGAAGCTTTCTTTGGGCTCTGCACTGCTGGGTGGCAGATGCTGGGTTGGATATTTTGTAGAGAGTACTGAGATGCTTGAAAAATGTAAGAACTCAAGAATGAGAGGGGAAAACATACATGTGAATTTTATTCACTCAAATGCATATTTTCTAATTCAGTGAACAGCTTCAAGCTTACAATGCAGACATTCAATAAAACATTATCAGAGAAGGAAAAAAAAAATGAGAGAAATTCAAAACTCGAGAAACAGAAAACCTCGCCAAATTAAAACTTCAAGCCTATACATGATCTTGATCTATGTTACAGAATGTGCAGGTGCAGGAGAGCAGAAAGAAATGGAAGTGGAGATCTTTTTCTTTTGAATAAAATCTTGCCGGGTTTTTCCTTTCAAAGTCTGAAGCCCAAGCCACCCCACCTCTTTGTGCCCTCTTTCTTCGTCTTCTTCGAGTTTGGATCAATAAGGTTTTCCAGTGACTTCGCTTTTCTGTCTCGGGTCCTACCTGCTTCTTTCAGAAGCTCAGTTAGTCTTCTCTTCTCATCTTCAAAATCAGGATTTGCAATTCCGAGCTTTTCTTCTCGCAGTTTAAGGACATACTCCAAAATTTCAATTGCATCTTCAACTCTGAAAAAGATCCACAAAAGATTTGTTAAGAACTGAATTTTCAAGGCATAATAATCAAGTTCCTACATTTATCAGTGGCACTGGCACATTCTCGGTAAACACACATAGAATACTTGGCATAATAAAAGCAAAAGGGGCAAAGAAAATTATGTTTCCAGACTATGCAAATGATGTAAACCTGGAAGACAGACATGACTGAGGCAGTCCAAAAACCTCATTCAAGGCCAGTAACAAGATATGATAAAAGTCTGGGAAAATGGATTGCAATCCACTAGTGCCAATTTTGGGGATATGCAGGTGCTAACACCCAATTCCTGACTATCAACACCCTGGCTACAAGGGTCATACGCATTTTTCCGATTCTAAAGAAGATGAGCAACAAAAGGACAACCCATATAGAACAAAATAATAGCTTTTGCATGGAGTGTTCAAGCAAATGAGAAACATGCTACCATCTTGAGCCAAAAAAATGCAAGCAGAGGACTCAATATATTACCTCCCCATAGCATCATAGGTTGCAGCGAGATTGCTATATACTCCAAGAGTATCTTGATGACAAGGACCACACTCTTGTTCTAATATCCCCCTCGCTTCTTCAAACAACTCAGCAGCCTCATCTATCTTGAACAACTGTACACAAGCCAATCCCATCTGGTTCAGCACAACCCCAAAGAAAGGCGACTTCTTCTCTCCACTAGCTCTAAGTTTCACTATAGCACTCTCAAAAGAGCTCCTTGCTTCTTCATATCTCCCAAGCATGCAAAACATCACTCCCATCCGTGCTTCTATTCCAGCAATTGTGCTTTGCTGTCCTGGTTTATCCTCCAACAACTTCATTGCCTTCTGCAACAGCTTTAGTGCCTCCTCAGGCTCATCCATGGATTCATAAATGGCTGAAATTTCAGTCAACCCACCCGAAATCTCTTCTGCCGTTGTTCCAGGCACAGGCTTCACATATATCCTCAGGGAATTCTCACAATATGATTTGGACTCTCGGATCTTTCCGGTTCTATGATATAGGTCAGCAAGGCGAACAAAGACAGAGGCAACAGAAGGGTGGTTGTCGCCCTTGATGACTTTAAAACAGTGAGTGCCTTCTGATAAGAGAAGACGGCCTCATCAAAGCGACAAAGAGACATGTAAATGTTACCTATGCTGACATCAATAGCAGCAACCTCATTTTCTTGCCCATTTGCAATCATTGCCATGCTGGCAAGGACAAGATGTTCAAGTGCTGATTCATAATCTCCCTTTGCCTCACATATGAGAGCCATCAGCCGGCGGTCAGCTGCCTCTTCAAGAGATGCTGGTTCACTATGAGCACGGTGAATTTCAAGAGTTTTCTTGCACAATTCTTCTGCTCTTTCAAACTGCATTGCTTGGACATGGGCCTCAGCTAAATATCTGCATATCCAACACCGGTTCACTTAAAATTCAATTACTCTAACTTTATTTCAAGCCATCACTAAAATTAGCTTAGTTCACTTGAAGAATTTAAGCATTCACTTCAAAAAATATTAACCCAAAAAGAAAAAGACACAAGACACACTCTGGTAAGCAAAACACTTGCACAACTATAATTGATACGTGGTTGATCATCCTTAACTGGTAGCTTATTTCATAATAGCCCCTTAAGAATCTATCCCTTTCTCCAGGGTAGATACCTAGAAAACAACACTGTGTCAAGTCAATGTTTATGCCATGTATCCCAGGTGTTTCATTTCAACTTAAGCATTTCAGGAAAAGAAAGCCTTATTCTGTCCCGCCAAATTCAGTTCATATTTGCATCAACCCATATTACATGCAAATGTTTCCAAAACTTATCAATTTGGAAATGAGTTTAACAAACATGAACACCAAGGTCAATTACGCAATGAGCTTAACAATATGCTAACCTCAAGTTACAGTCAACCAATCAGTTCAATTTCTCGATTTTGCTCCAGTTTAAATAAAACTTATTTATCTTTGTTTCCTTCACATTTGGTCAAATTTGATTGTGTTCTACATTTCAAGGCCCAAATTTTCAGCCGGCATAATAAACACTGGCCGAAAACTATTAACAAATTCTCCAAATTTGGCTACGCATTCTACCATAATTCTCTATCGAGTTTTTTAAACGGCACTATATATCTTCCATCTTTGACCCATTATCCAAAGAAATCTCAAACAAAAACCATTAATATTACTTCTACAAGAGAAAATAAAATAAAAGAACTATTCTTTTCAGCAATCTCCAAACAATTAAACCGATCCCCATAAGCACACACAAAAACCCATGCACGGCAACCCACAAAATTGAAAATAAAAGTAAAAAGCAGCGAAATTTAGACCTGCAAGTTTCACCAACTCTGGGATCAGTGTCACCCAAAGCCTCGATCTGGATCTTCAAGCCCTCCTCATAGCACTCAATGGACCGGTCCACCTGTCCCAGCATCGAGTACGTGTCCCCCAGCTGCATGTGCCCCGAGAACGCCGCGAGCGCGTGATCCGAACCTCTCTGGACATCGGGTACCCGAATCGCCCGGTCCAGAAACCGGAACTGCTTCCTCGAACCGGCCTAAGCTACAGTATATAGCCGCCAGCACGTGCAAGCTCATCGCTAGGTCCAGGCTGGGCTCGCCTTCGACGGCGCACCGCTCGAACGACTTGGCGGCCCGGACCGCATAGTCCAAAGCCTTGTTCGGGCCTTCGCCGGAGGCAATGGTGTCTCGAGCCAGCTTGAGGAGAAACGGGCCGAGATCCGGGTTGTCGAGTGAGGCATCGGCGAGAATCGGGTCGGGGGAAGCGGGTTGGGGCTTCTTAGATCGGGTGGGTGAGGGTTTGGATCGGGAGGGGGATGGCGGTTTTTTAGGGTGGGGCGAGGGGGGTTTTGGAAATTGGGGCGGGTTCGGATCTTTGGGGCTGGGGTTGGGGATCCGGGACTGAGATTCGGAGCGGGGTGGAGTCGGGCGGGGTTTTGACGGAGACCAAACCCGGCATCTTCGTTGAACAAGAAGAAGAAGAGAGCTTGTGAATTGTAGAGAGAGATAGAGAAGGAGAGGTTTGGGTTTGATGAATAAAACAGAGAAACAGAGAGTGTGTTTTGGGTTAATGATGTAATTAAGTCAAGTTAATTAAAGGATTAGAACTTGCTACCATGCTCAACAAACTGATTAGTGTGGAGTGGATTTAATTATCTGAGACCGACGACTGTGGAGGAGAGAGAAAGTCACAGGAAGAGAGAGAGAGAGAGAGAGAGAAGAGAGTTGAAGATGCAGATCAGATGTCTCTCTAGACTGTGCTGGCAAAGTGTGATGGAGGTGGTGGTGGTGGGTTTCAGTTTTTTTTTTGCGCGGGGTAAAATAGTAACTTCCACATCGGCTTTGTCCCACCGTTGGCAGCTTCTTACTGGAGGCAAGCGAATTAAATGATTGTACCGTTGTAGCAGACGCGTGGCGCTGCGTTACTGGTGTAAGGCCATGCTATTTTTTTTACTTTTCTTAATTTATAAGGGACATGCTATTTATATTGTGATCTTTATAATACAAGTAGAATCATGCCAGCTTAATTTGCAGTTATAATTTACTCTTTTAACTTTTGCGACTTTTTTAAAAAAAAAAAAAAAAAAAAAAAAAAAAAAAAAAAAAAAAAAAAAAAAAAAAAAAAAAAAAAAAAAAAAAAAAAAAAAAAAAAAAAAAAAAAAAAAAAAAAAAAAAAAAAAAAAAAAAAAAAAAAAAAAAAAAAAAAAAAAAAAAAAAAAAAAAAAAAAAAAAAAAAAAAAAAAAAAAAAAAAAAAAAAAAAAAAAAAAAAAAAAAAAAAAAAAAAAAAAAAAAAAAAAAAAAAAAAAAAAAAAAAAAAAAAAAAAAAAAAAAAAAAAAAAAAAAAAAAAAAAAAAAAAAAAAAAAAAAAAAAAAAAAAAAAAAAAAAAAAAAAAAAAAAAAAAAAAAAAAAAAAAAAAAAAAAAAAAAAAAAAAAAAAAAAAAAAAAAAAAAAAAAAAAAGTCGCAAAAGTTAAAAGAGTAAATTATAACTGCAAATTAAGCTGGCATGATTCTACTTGTATTATAAAGATCACAATATAAATAGCATGTCCCTTATAAATTAAGAAAAGTAAAAAAAATAGCATGGCCTTACACCAGTAACGCAGCGCCACGCGTCTGCTACAACGGTACAATCATTTAATTCGCTTGCCTCCAGTAAGAAGCTGCCAACGGTGGGACAAAGCCGATGTGGAAGTTACTATTTTACCCCGCGCAAAAAAAAAACTGAAACCCACCACCACCACCTCCATCACACTTTGCCAGCACAGTCTAGAGAGACATCTGATCTGCATCTTCAACTCTCTTCTCTCTCTCTCTCTCTCTCTCTTCCTGTGACTTTCTCTCTCCTCCACAGTCGTCGGTCTCAGATAATTAAATCCACTCCACACTAATCAGTTTGTTGAGCATGGTAGCAAGTTCTAATCCTTTAATTAACTTGACTTAATTACATCATTAACCCAAAACACACTCTCTGTTTCTCTGTTTTATTCATCAAACCCAAACCTCTCCTTCTCTATCTCTCTCTACAATTCACAAGCTCTCTTCTTCTTCTTGTTCAACGAAGATGCCGGGTTTGGTCTCCGTCAAAACCCCGCCCGACTCCACCCCGCTCCGAATCTCAGTCCCGGATCCCCAACCCCAGCCCCAAAGATCCGAACCCGCCCCAATTTCCAAACCCCCCTCGCCCCACCCTAAAAAACCGCCATCCCCCTCCCGATCCAAACCCTCACCCACCCGATCTAAGAAGCCCCAACCCGCTTCCCCCGACCCGATTCTCGCCGATGCCTCACTCGACAACCCGGATCTCGGCCCGTTTCTCCTCAAGCTGGCTCGAGACACCATTGCCTCCGGCGAAGGCCCGAACAAGGCTTTGGACTATGCGGTCCGGGCCGCCAAGTCGTTCGAGCGGTGCGCCGTCGAAGGCGAGCCCAGCCTGGACCTAGCGATGAGCTTGCACGTGCTGGCGGCTATATACTGTAGCTTAGGCCGGTTCGAGGAAGCAGTTCCGGTTTCTGGACCGGGCGATTCGGGTACCCGATGTCCAGAGAGGTTCGGATCACGCGCTCGCGGCGTTCTCGGGGCACATGCAGCTGGGGGACACGTACTCGATGCTGGGACAGGTGGACCGGTCCATTGAGTGCTATGAGGAGGGCTTGAAGATCCAGATCGAGGCTTTGGGTGACACTGATCCCAGAGTTGGTGAAACTTGCAGGTCTAAATTTCGCTGCTTTTTACTTTTATTTTCAATTTTGTGGGTTGCCGTGCATGGGTTTTTGTGTGTGCTTATGGGGATCGGTTTAATTGTTTGGAGATTGCTGAAAAGAATAGTTCTTTTATTTTATTTTCTCTTGTAGAAGTAATATTAATGGTTTTTGTTTGAGATTTCTTTGGATAATGGGTCAAAGATGGAAGATATATAGTGCCGTTTAAAAAACTCGATAGAGAATTATGGTAGAATGCGTAGCCAAATTTGGAGAATTTGTTAATAGTTTTCGGCCATGTTTATTATGCCGGCTGAAAATTTGGGCCTTGAAATGTAGAACACAATCAAATTTGACCAAATGTGAAGGAAACAAAGATAAATAAGTTTTATTTAAACTGGAGCAAAATCGAGAAATTGAACTGATTGGTTGACTGTAACTTGAGGTTAGCATATTGTTAAGCTCATTGCGTAATTGACCTTGGTGTTCATGTTTGTTAAACTCATTTCCAAATTGATAAGTTTTGGAAACATTTGCATGTAATATGGGTTGATGCAAATATGAACTGAATTTGGCGGGACAGAATAAGGCTTTCTTTTCCTGAAATGCTTAAGTTGAAATGAAACACCTGGGATACATGGCATAAACATTGACTTGACACAGTGTTGTTTTCTAGGTATCTACCCTGGAGAAAGGGATAGATTCTTAAGGGGCTATTATGAAATAAGCTACCAGTTAAGGATGATCAACCACGTATCAATTATAGTTGTGCAAGTGTTTTGCTTACCAGAGTGTGTCTTGTGTCTTTTCTTTTTGGGTTAATATTTTTTGAAGTGAATGCTTAAATTCTTCAAGTGAACTAAGCTAATTTTAGTGATGGCTTGAAATAAAGTTAGAGTAATTGAATTTTAAGTGAACCGGTGTTGGATATGCAGATATTTAGCTGAGGCCCATGTCCAAGCAATGCAGTTTGAAAGAGCAGAAGAATTGTGCAAGAAAACTCTTGAAATTCACCGTGCTCATAGTGAACCAGCATCTCTTGAAGAGGCAGCTGACCGCCGGCTGATGGCTCTCATATGTGAGGCAAAGGGAGATTATGAATCAGCACTTGAACATCTTGTCCTTGCCAGCATGGCAATGATTGCAAATGGGCAAGAAAATGAGGTTGCTGCTATTGATGTCAGCATAGGTAACATTTACATGTCTCTTTGTCGCTTTGATGAGGCCGTCTTCTCTTATCAGAAGGCACTCACTGTTTTAAAGTCATCAAAGGGCGACAACCACCCTTCTGTTGCCTCTGTCTTTGTTCGCCTTGCTGACCTATATCATAGAACCGGAAAGATCCGAGAGTCCAAATCATATTGTGAGAATTCCCTGAGGATATATGTGAAGCCTGTGCCTGGAACAACGGCAGAAGAGATTTCGGGTGGGTTGACTGAAATTTCAGCCATTTATGAATCCATGGATGAGCCTGAGGAGGCACTAAAGCTGTTGCAGAAGGCAATGAAGTTGTTGGAGGATAAACCAGGACAGCAAAGCACAATTGCTGGAATAGAAGCACGGATGGGAGTGATGTTTTGCATGCTTGGGAGATATGAAGAAGCAAGGAGCTCTTTTGAGAGTGCTATAGTGAAACTTAGAGCTAGTGGAGAGAAGAAGTCGCCTTTCTTTGGGGTTGTGCTGAACCAGATGGGATTGGCTTGTGTACAGTTGTTCAAGATAGATGAGGCTGCTGAGTTGTTTGAAGAAGCGAGGGGGATATTAGAACAAGAGTGTGGTCCTTGTCATCAAGATACTCTTGGAGTATATAGCAATCTCGCTGCAACCTATGATGCTATGGGGAGGTAATATATTGAGTCCTCTGCTTGCATTTTTTTGGCTCAAGATGGTAGCATGTTTCTCATTTGCTTGAACACTCCATGCAAAAGCTATTATTTTGTTCTATATGGGTTGTCCTTTTGTTGCTCATCTTCTTTAGAATCGGAAAAATGCGTATGACCCTTGTAGCCAGGGTGTTGATAGTCAGGAATTGGGTGTTAGCACCTGCATATCCCCAAAAATTGGCACTAGTGGATTGCAATCCATTTTCCCAGACTTTTATCATATCTTGTTACTGGCCTTGAATGAGGTTTTTGGACTGCCTCAGTCATGTCTGTCTTCCAGGTTTACATCATTTGCATAGTCTGGAAACATAATTTTCTTTGCCCCTTTTGCTTTTATTATGCCAAGTATTCTATGTGTGTTTACCGAGAATGTGCCAGTGCCACTGATAAATGTAGGAACTTGATTATTATGCCTTGAAAATTCAGTTCTTAACAAATCTTTTGTGGATCTTTTTCAGAGTTGAAGATGCAATTGAAATTTTGGAGTATGTCCTTAAACTGCGAGAAGAAAAGCTCGGAATTGCAAATCCTGATTTTGAAGATGAGAAGAGAAGACTAACTGAGCTTCTGAAAGAAGCAGGTAGGACCCGAGACAGAAAAGCGAAGTCACTGGAAAACCTTATTGATCCAAACTCGAAGAAGACGAAGAAAGAGGGCACAAAGAGGTGGGGTGGCTTGGGCTTCAGACTTTGAAAGGAAAAACCCGGCAAGATTTTATTCAAAAGAAAAAGATCTCCACTTCCATTTCTTTCTGCTCTCCTGCACCTGCACATTCTGTAACATAGATCAAGATCATGTATAGGCTTGAAGTTTTAATTTGGCGAGGTTTTCTGTTTCTCGAGTTTTGAATTTCTCTCATTTTTTTTTTCCTTCTCTGATAATGTTTTATTGAATGTCTGCATTGTAAGCTTGAAGCTGTTCACTGAATTAGAAAATATGCATTTGAGTGAATAAAATTCACATGTATGTTTTCCCCTCTCATTCTTGAGTTCTTACATTTTCAAGCATCTCAGTACTCTCTACAAAATATCCAACCCAGCATCTGCCACCCAGCAGTGCAGAGCCCAAAGAAAGCTTCGAGTTGCATCTGCGATGTTGTACATGTAGACCTCAGACTTTAGAGGATCAATAAACGGACCAGACTTGACTAATTTTAAAACGTTGAGAAAGTTTACCAATGGACACTTTTGCCCAAATTGATGTTTGGGTGAGCACAACTTTAGGCAACTTCAAATTAAGAACTTTTTCTTTTCTTTTTTCTCTAGTATAATTCAGGGAGACGGATTTTGCAAGGTCTATGTACCGCGCATGTGTAGACGATTTCTAACTATTGATCAAATGTTGGTTTTCAATGATTTACCGTCAATAATCACCCACTTAAATATCAATTTCTAATAATATACAGTCAGAAATCACTCACAGACGTGAAGTTTTAAAATACATATGCCTCTTCACATAAGAATGATTAATTGTCAGACTTTGAATAACTTTAAGACACATTCTTGCTTTGTTTCCCCAACTTGTGTTTGTATACCACCTTAATCGAAATCACATCGCTTATTGGTGCCCATGATTTTGCCAGGAAATGCGAGCACTCATTATTATACCAGTTTCCTTAAGAATCTGGTCTCCATTATTTGTACTGAATCATATTCTCAGCTCTTTATAACAGACAAGATATAAAATACTCGCGCAATATTAATTCTCTGGATCAAGCAAATCGCTCCTGGGCCATTTCGGCTGAAGAGGTATATGGGATTAATGGGTTGATGGCAACCCAATTAAAGTAAAGACTTCTCTTTAATGTGACAACTTGAAAAGGAGAATAATTAAAGACACAAAATAAATAAAAGAATTCAAGGTTCTCATCAATTATTAGACACCTTAGGTAAGTTTTTTTCACCACTACTACGCTCACCGAATAATGTTGTCACTTGCTCGAATCCGAGAGCCTACATTGTAACATCATTTATACCTAATGCACAAGGCATAATGTTCGATAAACATATTTGGTAAATAAATTTGACGAACCTAACGCTATTCGAAAGTATTACGTAATTTTGACAAATGAAATTAGATGAGCATTGGCCTTATATTGGGTCCATCAACACCTTGGCATGAAATACTTGAGTGATGAAGAGAAATATTATTCCTCATTTAGATATTAAGATAACAAAGAACAAGAATTTGAAGGTAGTGATTAGGAGAAAAGGTACGTAGTTCCATAATACACACTACAAGGGGCCATAGGTCATCGACATGGTAGAATATAATATTTATATATATGTCTATGACTTGACTTGAAATGAAATATTTGCCAATTCTTTTTTCTTTTTGGTGCTGTAAATTTTTGAGCCTCACACTTTGTACACAAAGTCATGTCCCATCTTTCCTCCTTCATGTCAGTCCAAATATTAGTCTTTATCAGAATTTGATTCATGAGACAGATATACATCATTAATCTCATACATGAAAGGAATATGTTCGCATCAAACCCTATGCCGGCCTAATATGCAAATGCAAGCCTTGCCATTGATTTGAAACACTGCCGGTTTGTTGATAGAGACTCAATTCTTCTGCCACTAGTTGATGTCTCAAGTGTGTGTGTGTGTGCTGTGACTTAACCATTGGTCTGCATCATGAGTAGGTTGATTTTGGATGCATTTGTGTGGCTAAACTTCTGCATGAGACTCAAAAGATTGCATTGTTCTTCCCAATTTCCCTCTTCCATCATTCAAGAGAATTAGTAAGTGTCAAAGTTGAGTTTGAATTCTCTGTGGAAGCTTTTGTATGGTGTTGATTGTATGTCCAAGTTTAAAGCTAGGTCACTTTAGACTTTTTTTTTCTTTTTCTTTTCTAGTTATTACTTGTTGAATATAAATCCTAAACACTAAACCCTAAATCTAAAACGCTCATATTTTAAACAAGAAACGGAATTATTTATATTCAAAAGCACAAAATTAGTACCAAAAGATTAGCAAATGATCATAATCTTTCAAAATTGGCTACTAGAGGCTTTAGAGCGTTTTCACCCATTTGTCATGGCAAAGGATAAAGGTAAGCAAGGTATATTACTATTCATGTGAATTGTGTCTGCCAAGCAATTTTATTTTATTTTTCGTTTTCTCAGCCATTGTCATGGCAACTCAAGGGTAATCACTATTCACGTGAGATTAACTTTATTTATACTTATGAGATTAATTTTGATAAGATAAATTTTACTTATACTTATTATATGAGGAGAGGAATTTGTATGAAGTTTTGGTTTGGAAAATGAAGAATATTGTTAGGTATTTATTTTTTTTGGTATTTTTACCAATTTTTATTACACAAAAATTGGTAGCCGTTGGATGAAGGAAAAAAAAATTGCATTGGACTCCCTAGGAGACGCCATGTGGCGCACACCACTTTTTGTTTGGTGTTCGACGCACATGAGGTAGCATTAAAAAATATTAAATTTATTCCATGACATCAGCGCCTTTAGGCAGCAGCTTGGGATGATCTTGCCTTTGGGCTTGTGACTTGCCCAATCTTGGTGGACCCCACCTCCTGCCCGGGCTGCAAATGCTTGGTGGGATGGGTTTTGCCAGCCCAGGGGGGCTTTTGTTATGGTAAAATCCACCGATGAAAGTACTCTTAGAGCATTTCCTCCTATTGCCTTGGCAAAAGGCAAATGGAGGCAAGGGTTGTTACTATTCACATAAATAGTGCCTATCCTAGCAAATTTTTATTTTTGGTATTTCACTCATTGTCATGACAATCCAAAGGCAACCACTATTCACATGAGTTATGAGGAGAATAATTTATATAGAGTTTTGGTGTGGGAAGTGAAAAATATGGTTAAGTATTTAATTTTTTTAAAATTCTGAATTTTTTTCGATTTTTTAAAATTTTTGTTGTTACTGATGTCATTACTGACATCACAGTTCTCATGCAACAACTCGGGCTGTTCTTGCTTTCGGGCTTGCCAAGGCTTAGTGGACCCCACGCCTTGCCTGGGCTGTTTTGTACCACCGAAGCTGCATTTCTTGACCTAAATGCCTTTTGCTAGGGTTGGGCTGTCGGCTAGAAGTGCTTAGAACTGTAATTATAAGCTAACGAGTGATATCCAGTGATTTATTTTCCCACCCTTTTGGTAAAAAATTAAAATATCCATACATTTCACCAGTTTTTGGGTTTAATAATAGAAGCTTCCGCGAAAGGCATGAACCATTTATAATATAAAAAACCCGTGACTCTATGTCACTGGTGTGGTGGCAGTGGCATGGTGCCATAGATTGACAGGTGCACTGAAAGTCAAAAAGTGTTCTTCAAATAATCCAAATGCACTTCGTATATATTATTATAATATGTAAATAATGGCTAAATGAATATGAATCGAAATCCATAGGCCTGTTTTTTGTACACCTTCGTAAAGGGTTAGATGAATATGAATCGAAATCCAATTCAAACATATAATATAAACCAAAACATGCATCAATTCACATTAGAATATTACCATCGTGATCAAAGGGGGGGTGGAATTATATATAATATTGGTGCAATTTCTCTGTTTTGTGCACGTAGCAGGGCACCTTCTGAATGATTTGATGAACAGAATCGTATCAAAGCATAGAGAATTATTCATGCAAATCGGTGTTGGACATTGGCCATTACACACATACACACACACACAAAAGAAAAGAAAAGTAAACTCCAACAGTTTCAACGAAAAAGATAGTTAACTGTCTCTCAAATTTTTGGATTGCTTTCAGGTCGATTCGGTGGACAGGGTGACCTAATTAGTCTATACGTATCTGTTATCAGTCGTGTTTTGGACTGCTGGCTCACTCACTTTAACTGAAATCTTGATGCCTTTGTATCTGATGTTAGTTCTTTTTGGCCAGATTAAATGTCCCCCGTGCTACAAATCAAGATCAAGTTAATATATATAAAATAAAAAAATAAAACAAGCGAAGATGTGGGCCCTATAATGCCACGTAGGTAACTAATGGTGAGATCTGACGAAAACCCTAACGACGGAAACACATTGTAACAAATTTAAAAGACTGGAGTATCTAATTATAAAAATTGAAAATATAGGAATTAACATGCCTTAGAGCATCTCCAACCGAAATGCCAATTCCAACGTGGCAAGTTTTAACCCAAGAAAAAGACATTTTAAGCCTTCCAACAATGATGCCAAATCCTAGTTGGATTGACGTCCTTCACTTTTGCTGTCAAAATTGACGCCAACATGTTGAGACGTCTTTTTGTTTTTTTATTTATTATTTTAATGCTGAGCCCACTTCTCTCCTCTTCCATATACAGTTCTTAACCCTATTTAATATTTTACTCTTAAATACCGAGCCCACCTGCCTTTAAAAATAATAAATAAATGTATATTTGACATCTTTGTTGAATAAAGAGTTTTACAATATGTCAACTGGCCACATCAGCCATAAAATTTAAATTTGATGTTTGGTATTTGACATCTCTCTTATAGATGCTAAACTATAATTAACCCTATTTACTTATCACATCTCTTATAATTAAATTATTAGAACTGATTTTATACACATGCTTTTGTGTTGAACTTGATGCTAATTAAATTACTTAACAAAGACAAGATATCATGATCAATATTAGGCAACGTTAATTGAATGCATGACCAACTCACATTCGAACTTAGACGGTGTGACTCACTTGTCACC